CCTTTCTGTAACGAGGCATGGTGTATTCTTTTATAGTGATTATACACAGCTACAGAAAGCACCTTCAACATAAACATAAATCATCCATAAGATCATTCTCAAAGTTCGTAACTCAAAACATTTAAAAGGACATCGAATATAACACTACAGGACCAAAATGATCCATTATCGCATCTTCTAAATAAAAAGGTATACAAAAATCATTAACATACTGAACTAATAAGCATCAACTTGAAGTTGGACTAAATTTGATAGTGAATTTGAATTATAGGATACCTTTTTGGCTCTGTCCTGGCCAATAACAAACTTATCGAGACCCTTGCAGATCTCCTTTGGTGTGGGTAAATCCTTACCCAAATTGGACCCTCCCATGTTGTCTTTTCGCCATTACCGCCACCTCCACCACTTGAACCACCCTCCCGTGGTCCTGAAGCCCGAACAACATTAACACCAGGTGCAAAAGGCGGACCTGGAGGAGTATGCACAGCAATCCCATTCCCATTAGAAGAACCAGGTGGGGGAGACCAAGTTTCTGGCGGTTCTCCACCATCTCCATCACTATAGGATCGTAAGGTATGCCAGAATGTCGCTCTAAGCCCATTACTGCTGTTACTTCTATGGCCATAATCTTCTGCCAAACCGTTACTGCCATGGCTATTATTAGTTTCTCTGTCATCTTTGACTTTGCCATTGGATATCCTCTTCTGCAATTTACTACTAGTATTATTAACTTTATTATCTAAGACCCGACCAATCTCCACAAATGTCCCTTGGATAGGAGCAGTTTCAAAGGGCGGGCGGAAGAAATAAGCTGTTTTACAATTGGGGCAGAGATTCATAGTTTGATAACCTCCTTCTTCATGAAGAGGAACCGAAGGAATCAAATTGGAATCAGAAGTAGAACTGGGAAAATGGCGATTGGAGAAAAATACATCCATGTTCCTGGCGCACCGTGGGCAATTAGCATCGGCTCGAATCTTTCGGGCCTGGGAATTCCGATGGCGAGTATCGCCGGAGCCACCGTGATCCCACTTGTACCGCTCCTGAACGTTGATGAAGGATTCCCGTCGTCTAGGGGTGGCGATGGGAAAATAGTTTAAGTGAGTCGAGATTGGGCAAACCTGATTGAGTCGAAAATTGAAGCTCGTCCATTTATGACCACTTCTTGCAGAAACAGCGAACTGAGTCTCTGCAGAAGAAATCATCGCCATCTCTTTCACGTTCTTCCATCTAGAGAAAATCCGAGACATAGAGAATTCACCCGAAAAGACAGAGAAGTAGTAAATTCCACAATAAGCAAACAACGAGAGGCGATGAATGACACAGGAATTGAGCTCTCTACACTAGTGTCTCGTCTGATGAGAATTGAGATCCGACTGGATTGACCCAATGAATAAATGACAAGGTAACAAGTGAAAAGAGAATATCTTTATCGATCTGTATGCGTGATTCAAGAGTAGCGATGTTATTATTTATATTCTGAATCTGAATTTTAGGATTGGATAGAATAAAAAAAACGAGAGAAAGCAGAGGAAAACTTGGGTGGGAGAGGATTAAGCAACAAAGATAAAGTGAGATTTTCTCGTAGAAGAAACTAGGAAAAGGAAACTGACAAACTCACGCAAGCACACTACCGCTAAACCAAGACATCGTGGGTTAGTAACTCATCCTTCGAATGCGGTTATGCAGCGTACGGGCACTTTCTCATCTTGACAGTTTAACCGTATCTGTATACTCCTCGTGTCCTTAATATAAGACCCATTTAACTAATTTGATTAGATTAAGAAAATTAGGTAAGTTAGTTAATTATAAGAAATTTGATATGTTTTTTCTAAAATACTATAATCATCTTTCTTAATATCTCATCTTCCTTTTCTACTTGATTATGGTTTAAGAGGTATCTATAAGGGTAATTTAGAGAAAACTAATAAATATGAAAAATAACTCTTATATTTAAGACAAAAACCAACTCAATAATTGGGTCTTATATTAAGGACCAGAGGAGTACCATTTTTTTTCATATGCAATTTTTAGTTTTTACATGAATGAAAAATGTAATGGCAAGCTCAACTACCATGGAATCATCTAATAATACAAGGGATAATGAGACAAATCATTTAGGTGGTTGGTAAAAAAGGTGGCAAGAAAAAAAAACAGTTGGCCAAAAAATCATTTTAGGTAAATTTTGGTTATTGATTATTAATTTAAAACGTAATATGCAGTTGGCAGGAAAAAAAAGTAATACTCCTCCCGAGTCAACTAAAAATTTTTTTTGCCAACGTCAACTAACAATTAATTCATAAGAAAATTAATCATTTAAAAATTATCTTTATTAATTTCTCATATAACACACCCTTATGACATTAATAGAAAAATTAGAACAAAGTTGCCATTAAAAATTTTATTTAATAAGAAATTTGATAAATTTTTATACATAAAAAATTATCAAGCACACATTAAATATTGGTATTCTAATTTAAATTCTTCTTACAAATAAAATTTTTAATAACAAAAATTCTCAATTTTTTCCTTATTTTTTTATTGCGATCCAAATCATGTGGAATAAAAAAAAAAAAGAGAATTACAATCAAGTTCCATGCAAGAGAAATAATTACTAAGAGGTCTAATAACAACCTGAGCAATCTATAATACTCCCTCCGTTCCTTATTATAAGAGACATTTGATGCTTATGGTATGTTCCTATATATAAGAGACACTTAAAAGTTGTCTCTATTTTTTTGTATTGATTTTCTATTTTACTCTTATTTATTTTGTCTTCAACTCATACTCTCTCTCCCTCCCACTTCTCTTTCTTTTAATAATTTAATTGTTTCTCTCATACTCTCTCCTTATTAATGGGGGTATTGTTGGAAAAAACATTATACTTTTTACACATTAATTGTCCTCAACTAATTTTAACTGTTTTTTTTATTAACGTAATTTGGTTATTTGTCTCTTATAATAAAGAACGGAGGGAGTAACAAGTTCTAAAATAGAAAATGATAACTTTTAAGACTTATTTTGTAATATATTTTTTTTGGATCTCACTGTAATTCTCTCTAAAAAATGACGAAGATTCCGGAGCAAATAAAAATTTGTAAACCAGGCCCAGAACCTCAACACTTGCTTCGTCCTAACGAGTCTGTTGGGACCAACTAATTACCGATCCCACCTACTCCCCTCACTGTCCTTTTCATCTTCATCCTACAACGTATGATCAGTTTTGCAGTTGGTGTCCTGTTTTCGTAGTATCGCATGTTCCTTAACGTGATCACCATATGCGATTTCTGTGTGTATCACTCTCACTGGCTACTGAGTACTGAACGATGATGCATGATCATATGAATCTGAATGAGCATGTCTTGTCACTCCTTGCAAAAAGCAACCATCTTGGTCATCTCAAGCAGCTCCAAGGCTACCTCACCGTCGCTGGCCATGCCCAGACTCAGTTCTACGCTTTTAAGCTCGTCCGTTTCTGTACTCTCTCTCTTTCCAATCTCCATTACGCTCGCCTTATCTTCAATCACCTCAAACCACCCAACGCTTATCTGTACACAGCCATGATCACCGCCTATGCTTCTCAACCTGATTACGTCTCTGCCTTCACGTTGTTCCGCGACATGGTTCGCCGACGAAATCCCAAACCCAGCCAGTTTATCTACCCTCACGTTTTGAAGTCGTGCCCTGAGGTTTTGGGATTGAATGGCACCGGCTTGGTTCATGCCCAGGTTTTGAAATCAGGTTATGAGCGGTACCCCGTTGTGCAAACTTCTCTTGTGGATTCTTACTCGAGGATTTCGGGCAATGTGGGGAAAGCTAGGAAGGTTTTCGATGAAATGTGTGAGAGAAATGTTGTGTCTTGGACCGCCATGGTTTGTGGGTATGCGAGGATGGGGGATATTGAGAATGCTATGAAGTTGTTCGGTGAAATGCCTGAGAGAGACGTCCCCTCTTGGAATGCTATCATTGCAGGATGCACTCAGAATGGGTTTTTCTCTGAGGCAATTCGATTGTTTAGGAAAATGGTTAATCTGGCTATGGAGAAGGAGTTACAATTTCAACATGTGAAGCCAAACCAAGTTACAGTTGTCTGTGCACTTTCAGCATGTGGCCACACTGGGATGCTTCAGCTTGGAAAATGGATACATGGTTACCTATATAAAAATGGGTTTGTTCTTGACTCGTTTACATCAAATGCTCTTGTGGATATGTATGGGAAATGTGGAAACCTTGAACAGGCAAGAAAGGTTTTTGAGATGAATCCGGAAAAAGGCCTAACATCATGGAATTCAATGATTAATTCTTTTGCGCTTCACGGGCAAAGTGATAGCGCAATTGCCATTTTTGAGCAAATGATGGAGTGCGGTGAGGGGGTAAGGCCTGATGAGGTCACCTTCATTGGTTTGCTAAATGCCTGTACTCATGGAGGATTAGTGGAAAAAGGTTACTGCTATTTTGAGATGATGGTTCAGAAATTCAGGATAGAGCCTCAGATTGAGCACTATGGGTGCTTGATAGACCTTCTTGGCCGAGCAGGCAGATTTGATGCGGCAATGGAAGTTGTGAGGGGCATGGGCATGGAACCTGATGAGGTCATTTGGGGTTCTTTGCTTAATGGATGCAAAATTCATGGCCGTACAGATTTGGCAGAATTAGCAGCCAAAAAATTAATTGAAATTGATCCAAACAATGGAGGTTATGGCGCAGTGTTGGCTAATTTATATGGGGAGTTGGGAAAGTGGGATGAAGCTCGCAACGTATGGAGAACGTTGAAGGAGCGAAATTCTTTCAAAATCCCAGGCTGTAGCTGGATTGAGGTTGATGACCAAGTTTCTCAGTTCTACTCCCTTGATAAATCAAATCCAAAAACAGAAGAAATATACAGTATTTTGGAAAGTCTGCGGGGTTTTAGAAACGAAGTCATGGTTGATCTATAATTCTTACTTAACAACCACATGCTTCACAAATCGACCTTGCCAGATTTGAAATAGGTAAACAAAGGAGAGAAGGAAGTATCAACATCATGTCTGCCTCTTTTAATGGTTCAGCCTGATGGTGATCAAGAATAAGAAAGGAGATTGGACTTCGAAAAAGTCAACCTTGATGCTTTCAAACGAGTTATTGAGATCTTTGACTGTATGTGAAGAACTAGAGAAGTGAAGAGAGAAAAGTGGGGACATTACTGATGTTGCACCTGCAATGGTGGTATGAAAGGAAATGTGACTCGAGAATCAAAATTCGAAACTAATTACAGAAGGCAACAGAAAGGTCGGTAGTGATGTTTGTTCTTTTTTTTGGTTGAATGGGACAAAAATTAGATAGGATAGGAATACACCCACAGCCAAAGAATTCAATGCGTTGTTTCTTTTACAGTTGTGAAGATCGATCAAACACGAAGGGAAGTACTAAAATTAGGGTCGTACGTTCGCAAATCTGGATTATGATCTTATCTCCTGATCAAGCTTAAGATACCTCATTTATTCGAGAGTCACATGCCTCCGTAGTGTAACAAGACTCGAGATTCAGCATCTTGTAGCCCAGCCCATAATCACGATACCAAAATCTAGACGGATTGTTATTCTAGTCTTCTTTTTTTTTTTTTATGATCAGGTTTTTTATGCAAGTGAAGTGCAAAATATACTCAGACCTTAGAGGTAATCATGATCAATGGTAGAGTTAAAGACTTGATTAGAAGATTAGCTTGTGTTGCTCAGGTTTGTGAATCTGGATACTCTTTTCATGTACCCCATATCAAGTAGAATTTAACATTCTTTCCCCCCATTGTTAAACGCAGTGCAAAAGTTTCACCGTCGGCTGAAGGGAAAAGTTTGTCTACTTTATTGAGCTTAATCTCCTCTTCGGGCAGATTCCTAGAACCTATGGAACTTGTATTCGTTGTTGTTGTTTGGTTATCATAATATCTCTAGGTCATTATTTTATCAACATGATCAATATTCAGATGCTAAGGTGAAGAAAGATTATAAAAAGGCGTCCCTTATCTGCTGCTTTTACCCAACTGGAGAAAGTGCTTCAAGTAACAGAGGAAATTGAATGGCTAGAAGACATGATATTCGTATTTAAGAAAATTTCTCCACATTCACTAGGAGATTACAGTAAAGCCAGTACAACGCTGCATATTCCCATCATCACCAAACATCAAGTAAGCCATACATAGAGAGGAAAAGAAGGCGGAAAAAGGAGTCTTGCTCAAGCAGAAACCCTTTTATTGACAGAGAATTCGAAAGCCTTTCTCTACATCAGTAGCAATCATTCACTCATGCTCAGGATTCAAAGCTCCTGCTTGGCCTCACTACTCTCAAGTTTGGCAGGCTGCTCATCCTCTCCTGCAATGCTCACGGTCCTAGGACCTTTAATCTTATCAGGTGACAACTTTTCCAGTGTCAGAGTAAGCACACCATTCTCCATCTTAGCCTTCACAGAGTCCAAATCCACGTTGTCTGGCAACTTGAAGTGCCTCCAGAATTTGCCAAATGACCTCTCCACCCTGTGCCAATGATCTCCTTTCTGTTCCTCCTCCTTCTTCCTCTCTCCACTCACACGCAAAACTCTGTTCTCCTCCACTTCTATCTTTATCTCATCTTTCCTCAACCCTGGCACGTCCACCATTATCACATGTCTCTCTGGTGTCTCCTTCCAGTCCACTCTGGCTGGAGATACAGCGATGGATGATGTCTCATCTCTGTCAAACCCAAACGGGATTTGCTCCAGCACGCGAAATGGGTCCGGGAAGGGATCTGACCAGAGATCAGATAGAAGACTTCCAGGACGATCTATGAATGGCAGGACAGACCCTTTTGCTTTGAATGGAAAGGCAGCCAGAAAAAGCAGGATCAATGGAAACAAGTTAAGGGGCTGTTGCTTCATTTGTTAGCTTACGTGGATTTGATATTCTATGGATTCTGGTCTGGTGCTCAGAAGAAGTATTGAAGGATATATAACAGCGATCTCTAGCACTTGGGAATCGTGTTGTTGATTTGCAGCTGAAAAAAGGCGAGGGAACCTGATTTATATGAAAATGGAAAGAATGACAGGGACAGAGGTGATGTGTTTCCTGAGAATTCTATACATTTGTGGAATGAATAGGAGAATGGAAGCATTTAGGAAAAGTGTAGAGAGATGAAGAAAGTTCCAGGACAAACTGAGAGTTATGATTTTTTTTTTTTTTGGGTGTTGACGGTGAAGAGCTGGGATTCATTTTCGAAGGTAAATAAAAGAGGGTGCTGGAATTTTCCCATGTGTTCCAGAGGCTTCATGTAATGCTTCTAATTCGTATTAAAATATTGTGTCGTTTACAGATAACAATGAATTTTCTGTTGCTTGCAATGGAATAATCTGTTTTTAGTGGTGATATGTGACGGATAATAATTAAAATATTCACCCTATCTCCTTACGGTTTTTTTTTTTTTTTGGACTCAATCTCCTTGCGGTTATTATTACAAAAACTTCCATGTATTTTTTGAATGAAAAATTAAAAATTCGGGTCCCCCGATGAATAATTCCCAGACTTGTTCCCCTTATGGGTTCTACAAGGCCCACCAAATTTTAGAATATAAGGCCTCAATGAAACGCGTGCCGGAAGGGCCACTTTGTATTCAATCTGCAATTTTGAAGGGCCTCATCACAACAGTAAACATGTGATTTTTTTTTTGGTCCACTTTTTTTAATGGAAACTGAAACAATAAAACGACCTAGAAGTAACAACAAGCGCGTAGTTACTAATAAGAGTTAGTCAAGTTGATAAAGAATCAACTCATAACTCACAAGATGGTGAGTTCAAATTCCACTGTCGATATGAAGACCTTGTTGGCGAGAGATCTATAAGGCTGTGTTTAGTATGAAGGATTTGGAGGGGAGGGGAGGAGAAAGAGGAGGAAGAATTTTAATCATTTCCTCTTATTTGGCAACATAAAAATTTCAAGAGGGGATGGAAATTTTTTAAAATTTTTCTTTCCCTCCCCTCCTTAACCTCCCTCCAAAATTTTTTAATATTTTGTCATGTTATAACCATTATGCTCATATTTATTTTCAATATCCCGATATGACTCTAAATCCTTTTCTTCTTGTCTCTAAATACTGCTCTCTCCTTTGCATGTAAATGTGAAATTTGAAGAGATAAAATGGACCGTTCGATAATAAAGTTTTGAGGATTTAAATTTTAACACAAATTATTTATATGTCAAAATTTAAATCCTCAGAGCTTTGTAGCCATAAAGATAAAATGGATGAAAACAAGGTTCCACGTCTAATGAGCTTATTTGCTTGACCAAATATTTCATTCAAAGATGGGATACAAGACCAGTTGTGGTTGAACATTACTTCAGCCTTCTTTTCAATAATACTTTACGCTCTAGAGTATATTAGAATTTCGGTATAAGTATTGTTTAATATATTAAATGTTATTTACAATTCTATTTTATTAAACACTCTATAAAATTTGAAAAAAAAATAATCTTAAATAAAATAAGGGTAAAATTGTCCATGTAAAAATATTTTTCTTCCCCTCCCTTCATGAACCAAATAAGGTAACATTAAAACTCCTCCCCTCTCCTCCCTTTTTATAAATTCAAATAAGGTAATATTAAAATCCTTCCAATCTCCTCTCCTCCTCTTCCCTCCATTAACATTCCTCCCATTTCCTTCCTCTTATTGAGCCAAACAGATCCTAAATATCTCTCTAAGTGCTGTCTGAATCTGGAGGTATATCCTAATCCTAGTGAGTCCCTAGCATCCAACTCATATAAACTATTATGTACCAAAAAAAAAAAAACCCTAGTTGGTCCGAAACATTAAACACGTGATTAGGTACGTATATGCCAATTTATTTTCTTGTTTTTTTTATTTCTTTTCTTCTTTTCAAATGGCTTTCTGTTTTGTTTCCTAATGAAAATCACTTCAATTAAGGCTTTCTGTCTTGTTTCCTAATGAAAATCACTTCAATTAAGTTGTTTATATTTATTACATTAAATTCGTCAATCACAACCACACGTCATTTTTTTATATAGATTTATAATTAAATAATATTTTTAAAATAAGACTTATGGTTGAAACCTGCCAAATCAGATGCTATAAATTTCACAAATTAAACCCCGTGATTTATTCAAAGCTGAGAACGTAGGTAGGATACACCAACGCAACTCCCTCGCACAATGCATTATAGTACCGGGTGAAACTAAAAGCCACACGAGGGGTGGGAAACGGATCCTACAATATCGCCAGCTAGAAATACTTGTTTGATAGATCCTCTAGCTACCTGATTCACATAGCACTGGATAAACAGCCAACAAGAACTAACTAGCATGCAAAAATAATTAAGCAAACTGAAAGCAAAAGGCAAAAGATATTTTATTTGATTACAAAGGGCTCACATAACAGCATTGACGCACATATATAGAAACAAATTAAAGCCTAATTAAAGTAGTACGTAGGTACTTAGTACGAGATATTTCGTATTAATGCGCAGGTATGGGTTTAGCAGAAGAGGAGGATGAGCAAGGATCATAGCAGAAGTTGGTGGTATCAGCAGAGACACAGTGTGGAGGCATTGAGTATGTGCAGATACAGTTCTTGCAAGCTGAGTGGCAAGTCGGTCCAACGTCACCGCATTGGCACTGAGGTGGACTTGACTTGGTGCACACGCAGCTGTCGCAGCAGGCGGCGGTGGTCGACTTCAACGAGTAGTTTGCTCCGCCATTCTCCTCCTCCGTCGTCGTCACTTGAGCCAGCAAGGTCTTCGGATCGAAGCGAGCCTCCACAGTTATAGTGAAGACCATCAAGAACAGAACCACACCTACTTTCCCATCGCCTTCTTCCTCAAACTCATCTCTTCTTTCTCTCTCTGTGTTAGGGTTTTGCTCGTGAAGGGGTGAGCAGATAGTGAGGGTTATTTATAAGGAGTTATTATCATATCACGTGACTCATTAACCAAATTAAATTAATCTTTTCGTGTTTAATTATCCCAGCTAGTGATCATTATATGCATGTGCCTGTGTTTCATGGGGAGCATCGATTAGTGCCCATGCTGATCATATTTTAAGCTTATTTTTTGGAGATTGGGCATATATCTGAACCCACAAATAACATAATGCAGCATTGAAAATTTATAAAACTATAAGACTCACAAATTAATTCTCTCCATGGAGAAACGAATCCTCTAGTTAATAAGGAGTAATAGGCTTCATTAATGTAAAATTCTGCTTAATATAAGAATTTATAAACACTTTTATGCAAATCGAAATAAAAATTTTCATAACATCTTACACCGTTTTTCATAATCTGATTAAATACCTGTTTTCAAGACTTTAATCGCCATTTCAAACCAGACTTAATATTATTAAGTTGCTAGTTGAGGTTCATCATTGTCCTTCAAGCATGTGGGTAATGGATTATATTATTCTTATTTTTGGACACTGAGCTCGGTGATGAATCCAACCCACCAAGTGTTGCCAATGGACAACAACCTCTCGACGAGCTCTTTCTTATGTTAAATTGACACGAATCACTAATATGTCATTTAAAAGTGTTCACTTTATGTTATAAAATAATACTCGGTCTGAAATCTAAGACCCATTTTATAATATAAATTACACTATAAAATGGGTCTTATATTTAGAACTGGAAGAGTATATCATTCGAAGAATATATTTCTATAGGTGTGTGTATATTTAAAAGTCTGTCACGCACTAGCTACATGTGGTAGCCTGGTAGGTGGCAGTGGCATATCATATTCTTCTCATTATAAACCCTATAAAGAAATTGTATGAAACATTCTTCAAGAATCTGTGAGCTTTGGCTCCCTTTGTGGTTGGCCTTGTATATTGAATGTGAGGGCAAAAGAATCTCATGCAACTTGAATGTCACATAAAACCTATTTTGTAATGCAATTTGTACTGTAAAACAGATCTTATATTTTAGGATTGGAGGAGTATATACATATGTGTGTGTATACACACATCGCTGTTTATTATAGAAGAGATAGATTCAGGTTCATCAGACGCCCAGCTAGAAACAAAAGAAGTCATAGAAGGCTTCGTTATTACGACGCTAGTATTATTAATTATTATTATCTCTAAGCTTCGGACGTTCATAGTTCAGACCACCACAGACAAATCGGAGTCGGAGCTTCTCTTCCATCCCTTGCGAATCGTAAAATTAGAGACTCTTTATCAGTGACAACCGGACGACGTCGGTTTTCACCGTCGACGAAGGCCCCAGCATCTTCACACTCGTTTTCTGCGTCGCAGAAGACAAGCTTATATAGTAACGTGTCTCTAAAACAAACCTAACTCTCTTAATACGGAACGAACCACGAACAATGGCATCGCCGACTTCTAGACCGACCATCACAGGCTTTCTGGTGGGAAGCGACGACCGCCTAATGACGACCCAATTTCTCGTATGGGCACACATGTTGGGTCGGTGACATGGTTTGTGCTGAGGAGTAGGTATTCTTAGAATAGATGACATGAATAACGGTTGTCCTCCAATGAAGGGAGCATCAACCACGGCAATTGTGCATGAAACTCTGCAAGGATAATGGGAAAAAATGTAATCCCACTACCTTTAATAATATGAGAAATAGGGTTTACGTAGTATACACCGGGAATTTTTCACGGGGTCGCCGTCTGTGTCGTACAGTTGCTCCGCCGTGTTAGCTGCAGCGGCGGTGGAGGCAACGAGAAGGAAAGACAAGAATGGTGATAATGCAGCAGACTTCATTGTTTGGTTGGTGTGCGGCAGTGGAAGATTTTAAGGGTTTGGTTTTGGGCGTGTGTTTTGGATTAAAGATGATAGTTGAACACCAAAATTTGGACTGCTAAAATTATATTTAAATGATACAGATATCATTACAAGGATAATAAACACTATGCGATGAGCATCAAAATTAGTTTTGAAGGGTGTTGGCCCTTGATGATTGTATTTCCCCACTCTCTATACCAGTACTACTATATAAATTATACAGACAGTGGTATAATGTCCCCT